GATGGCCAGAACTGGGTGTAGCTCTGTGTGTCCTGTCAATGGATAGGAGAGCACCGGGTGACTGAATCCGGATGGCACCAAAGGTGCCTGCTCTGCTATTCCCAGTGGAGTTTGGGTGGGCATCCTGCCGTACTCCCTGCTCCCTCCCCCTGCTTGAGACAGACCTGTTCTGAGCTGACAGTAACAGGTATTTGCCTTGGGTACAAAACCTAAAAACTTAAAAAAATTAATAAATTAAGAAAGGTGATGTTTATTGTGGGGAGTGCAGGTGCATGAGGGTATGCTGAGGATGACGGTTCCTTTGGCTCATCCACTTCTTGTGCACAGCTTGACCCCTGACTGTCTTGGTATGGATCAAAGCCTGGTGTGGGTGAGGCTGCATGGAGCTCGGTGTACCTCACACAGTGGTGTGCACGCTCATCCCTGCAGTAATGTGTGAGCACACTCTCGGATAACCTTCCTGGAACTGCTTGTCAAACGTGATGGCAGCAAGAGGCTGGCTTGGTGCTGCACGAAGTGCAAGGACTCTGTTTACTGCTCTGAAGTGTTGCCTCGTTCCAGCCACGTGTGGGTGCCAGGTCTGCTTGGGGAGAGACATGGCCCTGCCACCCATGGGAGCCATCCCTGCAGGAGGGTAAGGCACAGCCACCATTAGTGGCACCAGGAGCCTCATACCGAGGTTGAGCAGTTGGTGCCAGGAGGGATTGTACTAAAGGGTACTCAACACAAGAGCATCCTCCTCCTCCTCAGTCACCAAACCCATGTATCGTGTGGATGCTTGTCTAGAAAGCACGAATATTTACTGCAGTGAAGCAGTGTGTCATGTGGATCTTGCATTCTCCCACGGTTCACTTTTAAAGGCTCAAGACTTAAAGCTTACAGCAGATTTGTCTCCAAAACACATCTGTGGATGTCATCAGGTTTGAGGATAATACTGTGGCTTTTCCACTTCACGTCACTCTTGATCCATGTTCGCCTCTTGCTTCTGAATGAGTGTTCGGAGTGAGTTTCTGGTGAGGATAACTGCTCCTATAGCACACTTTCATAAACCCAGATTTGGGAACACAGTTCATTCTTTTTGCAGTGATTGGCATTCGTTTTACCTCTTGTTGAATTTTGCTCTCTGTTAATGTTTTCCAGCCAGGTGTATCTAACAGTTGACAAATGACAGCTGTAATTACTCTGTTTTTCAGTTATTTCAGAGATCAATAGAGTGAACTTTAAATTATCACCTTTCAATGTGCTCATAAATAATCCTGGGCAAAGTCACTGCTAAGGGTTTTAAAATGATGCAACTTTAGCAGCTGCCTGGATTATTTATTAACATCTGCTGGAAACCATCGAAATAAAAGGTGAGGTGGGTGTTATCCTGTCACGGTGTTAGGGCTTTGTTCATTGTGTCTATTTTTTAAAAGACCCTAAAATCACCTAATACAGAAATTCCCTCAAGCGCCTTAGCTTGGATGGTCCTTTTTATGCCACGTAATAGGCAAACTGGGCAGTTAACAGCTCTGCCATGGTCTGCTGAGCAAACCGTAGAGTAATAGAGGATTCTGGTGGGTTGACTGTAGCTGCAAATACTTTGGATGTTTGGTTAACTTTTCCTCCTTAATTTCACTAAATTGAAAATAATCAGACTTGATCTTTGAACGGCACATACTTGTTTGCAGTACCTCATTTTGTGCTGGAATTTCTTTGTGAGGCTTATGAAGTTTCAAAGAAAACATGACAGTGTTTTCAGAAGACAAAAGTTAAGCCAGAGCCCTTCAAACTTCTGCTTTTTTAGAAGCTGACCTGGTTTGCTGATATCTGCACTAACGGCTCATGTGCTGTGGTTGGGCTAAAACTTTTTTTGCATAAAAATGGAAAACGCTGGGTTTGCTGTGACGGCCTCGCTGGGGGCTGTCTGTGCTGAGGGTGCATGATCTGTGGCCAGTTACATCCTTTGAACTCATCCCTCAACTCAAGAGTTGTCCTTTCAACAACTCTTCAGTGGAACTTGGAGATTTTATTGCATTGCAGTGTGGTGGTTTGATGCTCAGTGAGCTCGCGGTGCTGTGGAGGCGCAGGAGAAGTGCTGAAGGGTGGCTGCACAGAGATGGTCCTGAGGGTCCTCACTGTAGCTCCAGGAAGAGCAGAGCTCCTGCCCTAGGAAAGCATTTGAGAGCTCTGCTTTCTCATTCTTCGTCAGAGCAAACGTTACTGCATACAGGTTTCTGTGAGAAAGGAAGGCACCAGGGATCCCACTCTTCGGTGCTGTGGTGCTGTTTGGGTCCTGGACCAAGTGTCGAGCTCACATTTAATCTATGTGTGCAGGCCCCCTCTCCCAATAAGCTGGAAGGTTTGGGGTGGGAGACCCACTACGTGAACCTCAGTGTGCCGAAAAGCAGAGCCCTGGAAGAGGTGCTGGGCTCCTGTCTTTGCCTCATTTCTGCTTGCTCAGGAATTGTCGCCTGGAGCCACAGCTCGGAGATAACTCTTTCATCTTTATCTCGTTACTTTCCTTGACTCAAAGCAAGGTCATGTCACCCACTTGTAGCTGGAAAAGTCTTGTGCTCTGTTTACCCAACACAAACACGCAGGAAGAGAGCTGAAATGTAATCTGCAGCCAGCAGCCTCCCACTGACCGAAGCCTGCGGGTTTGGGAGCAAGGCACCTGGGAGAGCTGAGCTGCTCAGTTGTGTGTCTGCTGATTGCATCCTTATCTATGGCCAGCTCTTGGTGGGGACCCTTGTAGGCACACCTTTACTTCTCTTGAATGTCCTTTGGTAATCGAAATAGCGTAGGTTAGTTCTCAGCTGCAAACTAACACTTATCCTGAGGAACCCCACAACTTTTTGGGTTGAGCAGCATCGAACAAGAGTTTCCTAGCACTTAGTTCAGGTCCTCAAGACCCAAATAAATGCATAGCAGGGAATGAAAAGCCTGCTGGTAGTGTTGGAGGGGAAACTTGCTGCTTTACAAGCATCTCGCCTGCAGTAGTGGCAGAAGGAGGTGCATGGATAAAGGACACCATTGGATTTGCTTTCACACTGATGGAAGTATCACATTGGGATGTTCTCTCAGGAAACGCTTGAGAAATGCTTGGAGTGAGATGAGCTCTGAAGGTTTGGGTTGCTTGGGTTTTATATCCAGCATGAACAAGTTTCAAGGCTGTAACTCCATCAGAAGGTCACAAGGGCTGTTGAAAACCTCAAGGAATGGAGCTTGCGTGATTTTGAAATAGGAATCAGAACTCAAGAGTGGAAAATGTGCCAGGCGTCCACATCTGGTGGTGCAGATCGTGTCCATAGACTGTTACATTATCTGTTGCTTCTCAGGACATTTAGTCCTCATAAGCAGGATTGTGTAACTCGAGTTGGGGGGAAAGATCAGGTTTTGCCCTTTAAAAATCTTCATCCCTGTTGATTCAGATCATGTCTTAAGGAGAAGTGACAGCGATATATATGTTTACAACCTGCCAGCAGTGTTGTCTGTGGGGGTATTCATGACCCCTGATCCAGCAGGATGAGCAGCTTGAGCTGTCCTGAGCCTGGCACCTGTGCTTTGCATCCCACTGGTGCACATTTCAGTGGTAGCTTCATGTCCATCCCACGGAGGTGGCCTGAACTCAAGCGCTGTCCCACCCCAGCAATGGTGACCTTCTGCAGCAGAAGCACCAATGAAAACCCTGGATAGGAGTCAGAAGATGGGTGTTTCCACCTGCACATCAGGCATCTAGGGCTGCGGGAGGAGGTGGGGATGGAGCAAGCTCATGAGCATCCATGCACACTGCAGAGGTGAGCACTGCCAGCCCTGCACCAGGAGCTGGGCCAGTGGTGTCCAGCTCGTGTCAGCTACTCATGGATGCTTCAGGGAAGAGCGAAAGGATCTAGAGGTGGACATTACCCATTGCCCTACTTGTGAGACCACTTACTCATTTTCCTTCCAGCTCCTCAGTGTTACTGTTTGATACGTATCCCGACACTAGAGCGTTTGTGGTTTTAATTAGTAACCCTGGGTGGTTTAGTTATCCATGCAAATATCCAGTCCCATTCTGAATCCTCAGCATCCTGCAGCAGACACCTACACAGGAAAATCTGCACAATGTTATAGCTAACAAGAACTTTGTGTATTAAGTTACTGCTCTGCTGTTTCAAAATACATGTTTTGTAGGCTATTCCATTGCTTAAAACAAAACCAGTTCCAGAAATATGAAGATCTAGCCGAAATGTTTTACAGCTAATATTTTCCTTCCCAGTTTGACTTCCAAATTACCTTTGTCATGTTCTTCCCAGCTGCCTAATGGGAAAAGCTTGCTTTTGCTTTTCTGGAGCTCTTTCTCCAAAATCCAATGTTTCAGCTATAATCAGGTTTCAGAGCGAAGAGATCTGTTATTGGCTCTTAATTTTTAGTGAGTCAAAATTGAAGCATTTTGAAACCAACTTGTTAGCTCGATGGGGCAACTTCTTGTTCTTTTTACTCTTTGCAGCACCTAGTACCATGGGACTGACTGCATGTAGGATTAGAAACCCTGTAATCTCTGATAGTGCCAAACAGTTAACAATATATGAGAAGCTGATTCTTGGAAGTGAAGTAAAATGTTTTGTGTAGTGGTTCTTAGCAAATTCATGATGCTTGGGTGTCTGTGAATTCAAGGAGCAGCAAGCTGGAAAGCAAAGGTGTTTGGGGCTTGCTTTTTTTACTCTTCCCAAACTCTAAGGCATGCAAGCTAAAGAAGGATAGGGGCAATTCCTAAAAACTGCTGAAAACAGCATGTATTTCTCAGGATCCATTAAATGTGTGGGCTGCAGGAGCAGTAAGAAAATATTTAGACTATACTTAGATTTGAAAAATAAACTTTATAATGATGATATATTTTAAATGCTTCTTTTGCTTCCTTGTCGTAACTTTGTCCCTATATTGGCTGCATTTATACCCGTGTTAGCACCAACTGCTTATCTGAAACCTTTACTGCAGCAGTAAGAGTACCTCTCCGATTTCTCTTTATCTTATTGCAGGTAGAGCTTCACGTCCACTTGGATGGAGCCATTAGACCAGAAACAATCCTGCACTTCGGCAGGTGAGTTGTGGGGGGAAGAAAGTTCTGGGACCTGCAGTTCAAAAGCATCATCCCTTCTGCTTGTCCAGTTCTCTGACAGAATGTCGTGGTTCAAGCCCAGCCGGCAACTTGGAACCACGCAGCCGCTCGCTCACTCCCCCCCTTTTCCTTCCTCCCCCCGCTCCCGGAGGGATGGGGAGGAGAATTGGAGGAATGTAACTCCCACGAGTTGAGATAACAGCTCTCCAGTAACTAAGGTATAATACAAACCACTACTGCTACCAGTAATAATGATAAGAGGAATAACAAGGGAAAAGGACACAACCGCTCACCACCCGCCGACCGATACCCAGCCCGACCCGAGCAGCGATCTGGGCCTTCCGGGTAACTCCCCCCAGTTTACATACTGGGCATGACGTGCTGTGGTATGGAATACCCCTTTGGCCAGTTTGGGTCAGGTGTCCTGCCTCTGCTTCCTCCCGGCTTCCCCTCCTCTCTGGCAAAGCATGAGACTGAGAAAGTCCTTGGTCAGAGTAGACATTACTTAGCAACAACTAAAAACATCGGTGTTATCAGCATTGTTCCCAGACTGAAAGTCAAAAACACAGCACTGCACCAGCTACTAAGAAGGAGAAAAAATGACTGCTGTAGCTGAACCCAGGACACAGAAGCAGGAGGCTTGGAAGGCTCTCGCCCTTGTTGTGCAGGAGCAAACCTGGCTGGTGCTGGTCTCACTTCTGCACATCAGCTCCTGTGGCTGCACGGTGTGAGAACTATGAGCACGTTCCAAAACACAGTGCTGCGGCAGGAGTGTGGTGGTCATCGGTCCCGTGAGCTGGGCGAGCTAAGGGGAGCGCTGTGAGAAAAGTACAGAAGATGTGTCATAAGCTGTGCTGTCAGCCTTTGAAGTGTGCCCGGGAAGCAGCAGAGTCAGTGTTTTCCCATTTCTCATGTCACATCCCTAATTGCAAAAGCAAATGCAATGGAAGCGGGCTGGGAGTGTCGTCTTGGTGGTGGTGCTGGACCACAGTCTTGGGAGGAAAAACCAGCTTGGGTGCTCCTGCCCACCCTGCTACTGCATGCCTTTGAACCCTACACTGTCCGCCGGCTGCCGGCGGCCAAGCAGTCGTGCTTGTGTGACCCAGGAAAGCGCTTGGCAGCGAATTAAAGAGAGGTCATTTCCTTGACAAAGCCCACGTGCATCTTCCTGCTTTAGTGTAGCTTGTGGGAGAAGCACCAGGGTAATGATTAACTGGTGCAAGGAGCTGGCTCCATGGTTGTAAGCAAAATAAACATAGGACTTCTTCCAGCTGTCACTATTCAAAAAGCGAAATGGAGACTAGCAGATACCCTCAGGCCAAGAAAGTGGCAAGCTTAAAGATTTCAGGAAGCAGCTCTTGGCCAGAACTCTGGTACTTTGGGGAGGAAATCGGTCCTGAGGAGGATGGGAAGTGGTTCTGGCATCCTCTGGGCACAGCAGACTC